GTGTTATATACCAGCACAGCAAACCCTTGTTCCTACAAAGTGGCACACATGGAGGATATAGCAAAGTATTCTTATATATCTAACCAATCCTTAAAGGACCACTATAGTGCCAGGAAAACATACTCGTTTTCCTGGCACTATAGTGCCCTGAGGGTGCCCCCACCCTCAGGGACCCCCTCCCGCCCGGCTCTGGAAGGGGAAAGGGGTTAAAAACTTACCTTTTTCCAGCGCTGGGCGGGAGCTCTCCTCCTCCGTCCTCCTCCTCCCCCCCGCGGCTGAATGCGCACGCGCGGCAAGAGCTGCGCGCGCATTCAGCCCGTCGGCCTAGGAAAGCATTTACAATGCTTTCCTATGGACGCTTATGCTCTCACTGTGAAAATCACAGTGAGAAGCACGCAAGCGCCTCTAGTGGCTGTCAATGAGACAGCCACTAGAGGATTAGTGGGAAGGCTTAACCCATTCATAATTATAGCAGTTTCTCTGAAACTGCTATAATTATGAAAAAATGGGTTAAGCCTAGAAGGACCTGGCACCCAGACCACTTCATTAAGCTGAAGTGGTCTGGGTGCCTAGAGTGGTCCTTTAAGCTCTGATTCCTATTTAATTACATAAGAAAGGCCCTTCAAGTCAAGAGTGGAAGTCAGAGTGGAGTAAAGAATAGAACTCAGTCTCTCTACATATGATGTATTTAAGCAAAATCTACTCACAAATTCAGCTGCTGTCACTTGTTATATTCCCTTGTTGTTTATATTTGCTGCAAATACATTTCACCATAATCTTCCAATCTTATGGGAAGAAGTTCAATACAATTTTATATTTTTGTTTTGTTTTAGGAAACATTGCTAATATTTTTGGACTATGAAATAGGTTTTTAGATATACATCTTCTTATGAAATATTTTACATTCCATAAAATGTACACTACATCATGATATATTTGTTGCAGACAAATCCTCAACTACTTAAAAGTGTCATTTATGGTCTATGTCTGGAATTGAATAAAAAGTAGTAGAGTTTTTCTGGGAAACTCCCACCCTACCTGAACAAAATGCTTTCCCCAGCTGTTCCCACTTTCTATAAGCTCCGATCCAGTACAAGCACTTTACTTAGTCTACCTCAATACAAAAAGAAAGCGGCCCGATCCTCCTTCTCCTACAGAGCACCGCAATTGTGGAACGACCTCCCGCACAATTTAAAATCTTCCCTAAGCCTAAAGTCATTTAAGAGATCCCTCTCTACATACCTCAAAACAGAATGCACGTGTCATGGTTGATTATATATTTCCTGCCTGTTCTATGTTAAATTTTGTATATATTATGTATTAATATTGTTTTTGTATTTTGTTGTACCTAATGTAACAATGCAATGATTTGTGGACACAGGACATACTTGAAAACGAGAGAAATCTCAATGTATCTTTCCTGGTAAAATATTTTATAAATAAATAAATATTTTATAAATAAAATAAATATATAGATCAGATGTTAACCCCTTCAGACCGGAGGGCGTACTATTCCGCCCTATTATAGGCGGCTCTAAACGCCGCCGGGCGTAATAGTACGCCCTCCGGTCTTTCGGTACTTACCCAGGGAGCCCCCCGTGGCACTTCCGTCCTCCACGAAGCCCCCCGGCCATGTGAGAGTGGGGTCCTTGCGAGAACCCCACAATCACATGGCCGGGGATAGCTGGCTTCTGTATTGCCAGCAGGGGGGCTGCCTGTAATGACAGGTGGTCCCCCTGCTGGCTGAAAATAAAATTAAAACAAATAAATGGTGTAAAAAAAATAATAATATATACTTAGATCATATATATATATATTTTATATATGTGATCTAAGTATATTATATACACATATACATACACACATGTACACCGTCTAGGTGTATTTTACTATTAATATATATATAATTATATATATATATTAATATCAAATTACACGTAGACTGATACTGATTAAATATATATATAATTATTGTTATATATATATATTTATATATAATATAAAAAAATTAAAATGTAAATACGTTAAAAAATAAAATTAAAAAATAATTAAAAATAAATAATTAAAAAATATATAGGTGTGTTATTTCGTTCTAACTGTATTGTGAAATATATATATATATATATATATATATATATATCTATATCAAAACACACGTAGAACAAAATAATATATATATCTATATACATAAATATATACGTATATATCACTATATATATATATATATATATATACCTATAGATAAATAAAAATATTTTTTAAAAATTATGTAGATATATACATATATATATATACACATACGTATATATATACATATATTAATTCTACATATATATTTATGTAATATTTTTACATAATTCGGTATCTTAATTAATTACAATTAGCGGGACCTGCCTGACAACCCATGCCGAAAGTAAAGGGAATTTAATTTGCTAGCACTATATTTAACCCTATAACTTTCCGAGACACCATAAAACCTGTACATGGGGGGTACTGTTCTACTCAGGAGACTTTGCTGAACACAAATATTAGTGTTTCAAAACAGTAAAATTTATTACAACGATGATATCGCCAGTAAAAGTGATGTTTTTTACATTTTTCACGCACAAACAGCATTACACGGACAATATTATTGCTGTGATAGTTTTTACTGTTTTGAAACAAATATTTGTGTTCAGCGAAGTCTCCCGAGTACAACAGTACCCCTCATGTACAGGTTTTTTGGTGTTTTCAAAAGTTACAGCGTCAAATATAAGGCTTGCGTTTCATTTTTTTCACATTAAAATTCGCCAGATTGGTTACATTGCCTTTGAGACCCTATGGTAGCCCAAGAATGAAAATTACCCCTATGATGGCATACCATTTGCAATAGTAGACAACCAAAGGTATTGCAAACAGGGTATGTCCAGTCTTTTTTAGTAGCCACTTAGTCCACTGGCCAAAATTGGCGTTTTTTGCGTTTTTCACACACAAACAAATACTAACGCTAACTTTGGCCAGTGTATGTGACCAAATGGCTACTGGACATACCCCATTTGCAATACCTTGGGTTGTCTACTATTGCAAATGGTATGCCATTATGGGAGTAAATTTCATTCCCGGGCTACTATACAGTCTCAAAGGCAACGTAACCAATCTGGCGAATTTCAATTTCAAATGTAACGTGCTATATTTGACCCTGTAACTTCCAAAACGCCATAAAACCTGTACATAGGGGGTACTGTTTTACACGTGAGACTTTGCTGAATACAAATATGTGTATTTTATTGCAGTAAAAGCAAACAGTATTATGACACTGACCGTTAAAATGTCATGTAGAACTAAAAAAATAAAATAAAATCGTATTTTCTCCCATTTTTTTTCATATTAAATTATGTTTCATAGCTAAATATTTGATATTAAATGAAAGCCCTGTTTCCCCTGAATAAAATGATATATAATAAGGGTGGGTGCATTTATTATGAAAGAGGTGAATTACGGTTGGACAGACATGTAGCGCAAATGCCAGGTTTTGTTTACATTTTGTTTTGTTCACAACGTGTACATTTGGCTCCGTCCTTAAGGGGTTAATAGCTATTGAACTCTGCAATCCTAAAATGTGCAAGTGAATCTTATGACATTGCCTTACCTATGGACAATCCATTCTGACACTTTTACGCATGTACCCACCTCTCAATCTTTTATATTTTTCTGTTAAGCCTAGTCCTAACCAAGGATATTTCCAACATCTTAAATTTGCAACATTATATGCATTCTCTATGGATTTTAAGAAATACAACTTTTATATCTGACATATTAATAGCATTTCAAGAGAAATTCAAATAAACTTTTATAGTGTTATGTTAAAGTTGCAAACTTTGAACCATGAATGTATTCTTTAAGCTCCTTTCTCACTAGTCTGCTGCCTGGCCTTAATATTATATATACAAAAATGTGTTCTTTTTTATTTAAGACAAACAATATCCCACAAGCATAACAGTGTAGTGTGAAAAGCAAAAAAAGGTTTATTAAAGACAAAAAAAACCCATAAAATTTCAGCCACAAGGCCTTAATCTTATAATGCCTTGTGGCCGAAAAGTTGTATGTTTTTTTTTTTGTCCTAATGTTTTAATAAATCTTTTTTTACACTACACTGTGATGCCTGTGGGATAATTTTGTTTTGAATTTTAAAGGAAGACTGCAGGTCCCTGTTGCAGAGCTCCAGTATATTTTGGTTAGTACGGTGTGCAACACACCTTTCTTTGTATGCTTGTTCTTTTTCATGTTTTCATTTTTTTTTTTAACCCCTTAAGGACACATGACATGTCTGACATGTCATGATTCCCTGTTATTCCAGAAGTTTGGTCGTTAAGGGGTTAAAGGAATATAAAAAGAATTGATCATCTCTAACTTGGCCACAAACTCTGTCAATGGCTTATAAGCCATACCTTTCTGAGTGCAGCAAGGAGACTTAGAGTATTGACTTCACAATGATGAATTCAGATACTATAAAGGAAGGGATATTTATCAAAGTGCTGGTGAATAAAATCTGGGATTGTTTTGTTGTAGTTTATCATCTTTTGTGCAGCACACCATACGCATTCATAGTAATGCCATGTTATTGCACTAGAAAACTATTCAATTCTTTGGTGTTCTCTTTCACAACTTTTAATATAAGGTTGAAAGCAAGACAAAATAAACACAGAATAGTCACACAATATAAAAGTTGACACATTTTTAAGACTACTTCTAAAACACTTTAGTACACGAGAACAATTTTTAACTCCCGTCCACAAAAACAAATGCACTTTTCAGAATCCTTTTCTGAATACTTGATAAATCCTGCCCTAAATGTAGACATACACAGCAGCAGCTGGCAAATCATCTCTTTACTCCAAGGAGATCATGTATGACTGACAGCATTATAAATTGTCAGAATAGATGAGAATTGTATTATGCAGTATTCATAGGCGTGCGCAGCCTATTGCATTAGGGTGTGCACCCTAAAGCACAAACACACGCCGTGCGTGTGTGTGTGTGTGTGTATATATATATATATATATATATATATATATATATATATATATATATACACACACTCACAGACACACACACACACTCACAGACTCACAGACAGACACACACACACTCACAGACACTCATACACTCACAGACACACACACACTCACAGACACACACACTCACAGACACACACACTCACAGACACACACACACACACTCACAGACACACACACACTCACACACACTCACTCACACTGACACATACTCACACACTCACAGACACACACTCACACACAGACACACACTCACACTGACACATACTCACACACTGACACACACACTCACAGACACATACTCACACACTCACAGACACACACTCACACTGACACATACTCACACACTCACAGACACACACACACTCACACTGACACATACTCACACACTCAGACACACACTCACACTGACACATACTCACACACTCACAGACACACACTCACAGACACACACTCACACTGACACATACTCACACACTCACAGACACACTGACACACACACACACAAATTATTATATTTTAATTTAAAAAAAAAAATGTCCACCCAGCCTCCTACCTGGAGTGCTGGTGGACTTGTTCCCTGGGGTCCAGTGGGGGCGGGCGCCTTTCCGCAGTTCAGCCGCGGCGAGGGAGCTCTCTGCTCTCTGCTGTCTGCTCCCTCTCGCCGCGCGGGCTGTCTGCTGCAGCTGGGAGCCGGAATATGACGTCATATTCCGGCTCCCGGCATCAGCGCGCGGCGAGAGGGAGCAGAGAGCAGAGAGCAGAGAGCTCCCTCTCCGCGGCTGAACTGCAGGGTGGGTGGAATCATCACCTCTTGCCCCTCCCATGACAGGGGTAAGAGGTGAAACAGGGGGCACTGAGTGCCTGCAGGAACGCTGTTCCTGCAGGACTCAAACCATAGGCGTGCCACGGGGATTAGGGTGTGCCCAGGCACACCCCGTGCGCACGCCTATGGCAGTATTATACATGAAATGGTAGCATGCCAATATTTTAATCCATTATTTCAGATTTTGGAGGCAGTTTGGAAATGTGCATTCCCAAACACAGATGCAGATTTCTTATGAAAATTTTTATATATTTTGAACTATTGCAACTATTTACAGTTATGAAAGTTATATATGTCCGCCAAGAAAGTGACATTGTATATACACTAATAATGTGTATAACTATTATTTCTGCTATTGATTACCATATTAATAAATACTCTTCCTGTAAGGCTGTTATATAATTGTCTGTTGACTCTTACACGCAATCTAAACTAGAATAAATGCAGAGTTTGTAATTTTTTTATGTTTGTTTATTTTTTTAACCATGTCACTAGTAAAACAAGATTCTGAAATTTTCTGCTACTGAAAACCAAGTATACATTTTTCTATTTTTTTTTAATTACCGTCTGATTATAGAATCATTGCCAATTTCAGAACTATTTATTTGCCTTTTGATTATGTCTTGCATCTCACATCCTTGTTAGGCATCATATTAGGTCAATGTTTATTCAAGAGACAGCATAAAGCAGTTCAGACTTTATTCTTTATTGCTCTGAGCACCCTTACCGTGACAGTTCACTGACATGATGGATAATAGGCTAGAATATCCACTTTAGCAAATCCTATATTCAGTAAAAGAATGTTGTCCAGCAGTGGCTCATTTTAGCCTTCTGTAGACACAGGAAAGCAGAATTTCTGTTGCAGGATTATATTTAAAGAAACACTCCAGCATTTCAAATAATACTCTTTATTTGTAACGCTGCAGTGTTTAAAAGTACATTTTCATTATTGCCCCTGATAAAAATGGTTTAACTTATCTTTAGTTCAGTGGCAACATAGTCCATTTCTGCGGCACCACTCCGCCTCTGGGAGATTATTAGTTCTGATGATCTCCTGGCTAATCCACAAAGCAATCATATCCCAGCAATTTGATTAAAGTGTGCAATCCAGATACTTTATAAACATTTCTCTTGAAATCTGTATTTTTACAAAGTGTGAAAGAGGGGACACTGTTACTTCTGTTAAGCTGAAGTGTTTTAGGGGGTTTTACGTGTTTTTTAAAAATGCATTAGATAGGCACAATATGACATGGTGGTGTTTTATAGGCAATAACGTTTACATTGTGGTAGCCAAACTCCTACCAGTTGCATAGATCTGATAAGTTTGGCTATTTTCACTTTAATTTGAAATTCACCTGCTGCTAATAAGGTTCCATTGTTATCAATCTATTAGGCTACACTAGCATCCAATTGGTTGGAGCCTTTTTAAAAATAACCCACACCCTCTGACCACAGGTCACAGCAGAGGTAGCAAAGTACTCTGATTTATGGAATCATAAACCCATATTATTCCGATAAAGATTCTAAAAATGAAAATTTAAGAGCTGGGTTCCAACAATTCTTGTGGTGTAATAAGTCTCTTTCTCAAGACTTTCTCATGGCTAGTGTTGCTTAAATTTATACCGGGTCTGGCACTTCCAAACCTCAAAAATTATTATACAGCATCTCACCTTTTAAAGACAACATCACTGAGAGATGATGGGAAAATGATGAAGGCTGCATTCTGGATAGAATGTGAGTTCTACCAGGGATAATACCTGTGCCGGTTTGGGAACTGCCTCTGTCACACCTATGAAATTAAGTAAAATTATCTATTTGGCACAAGTGTGAAACTAAATATATCCTTTATACAAAACCTAACCCCTTTCTCCCACTTTGGTACAATCAGGATTTTCTAGCAGGTTCTAGAAGCCTTCCTAGAAGGATCCTATTGGATCACAAAGCTACATGCTTTTCTCACACAGTTTTCTAAATGGGGAGCTAGTTATAGGTTGAGAGCCTCAGCAGACATTCTCAGCCTAACAACAGAAGAAAGTCCAGGACTTACTCATTGAAGCCTCAGACATCATTAGAAGAGGAGGGAATGGGCTGATGTGTGCTTTCTTCATCGACAGCTGGCCAATCAGGTGAAATAAATTAAATAAGCTATACGAGTAAGGGGAAAAAAAGCTATCTTAAGCTGAAAATATTGATATGGAATTGGAGAATTTGCTGCATTTTGGGGGCACTGTTAAGACAATCACACATTTAACAAGATTTTGACTTGTTTGTTTTATTTTTATAGGAGCACTGTAGGCAGCATAATAACAGCTTGAAGTGGTTATAGTGCCTGAAGCCCTTGGCCGCCAGTCCTACATCACTGCTAAACAGTTTACTCCCTGATATGATGGATGCAGCACGGCCTCCAATGTTGATATGGCAAAGGCAGTGCTATATTCCCATCTTCGCCAAATCCATATATACTGAAGTACCCAGCCTATTAATGTATGCTACCCCAAGAAGTCCAGGCACAATAACTACCTCAATCTGTTAAATAAGCTTTGTTTTTTTGTGGCAACGCTCAGATCTTGCGAGAATGAACTCTAGCCCTGCAAGCTAGATTTCACTCTCCACTGGACCACCAGGGAAGGCAGAAAGGATCCCCCCTCCCTACATAAGGTAACAAGGGAGGGGGGATATTAACTGATCTGCCCCCCCCCTCCACTGGACCACCAGGGAAGGCAGCAGCACGGCCCCCCTTCCCTACATAAGGTAAGAGGGGAGGGGGGATATTTATTAACTAATCTGCCCCCACCTCCACCCCCACAAATCACCCAAACATACAGCACACACACACACATACAGCACACACACACACAGCACCCCCCCACCACACACACACACACCACCCACACAGCACACAAACAGCACCCTCACACAGCACACTAACAGTACCCTCACAAAAACAAACAGCACCCTCACAAAGCACACTAACAGGACCCTAACAAACACACACACAGCACACTATAAGTACCCTCACACACAGTACATTAACAGCACCCTCACAAGCACACACGCACACAAACAGCACCCTCACACACAGTACATTAACAGCACCCTCACAAGCGCGCACACACACACACACAAACACCTTCACCCACATAGCACACTACCAGCAGTGTATGTGTGTGTGTTTATATATATACACACACACATTCATATATATATATATACACGCGGCGTGTGTTTGTGCTTTAGGGTGCACACCCTAATGCAATAGGCTGCGCACGCCTATGCATAACTGTACACTGTGAAAATTATAGCATAGGTCACCAAGCAATGAACTGAGTGATTATATTACAACATAGTACTCATGTATTTAAAAAAGCATTTTTAAAAATGTTCATTATATTGAGATACACTTTAAAAGTACTGACTGATCTTTCAGTACGTTGTGGAATCGTATTATTTGTTTCGAAGGTGTGCTAAAGAGCAAGCTTATAAAAAATACAGAAAAATTAATACCCTGAATAATAAAAGAATAAAACTTAATTTAAAATATATGAAACTATTCTTAACCCAAGAACAAACTCAATATCAGTTTTAATTTAATCTTAAATATATGTTTTAAATGAGTTTGTGATTATAATGTTTTAATTGGATAATGCTAGTTATTCTATCTTCTAATTAAAATAAAATTTGCATGTTTGGGGAAATCAAATGCTTAATTAAATACATGCAGAGCATTCACACGGATCTGAATGATACCTCGGTAGGACACTTGTGTTTTCTAATAGGACAAAAATTGGTTTTGCTGCTCAGCTCAATTTACTTCAGCTATTACAGTATAAGAATATCAAAATGTAAAAATATATATTATTACCATAACAGAAAGGTTATTTGTCTGCTTTGATACAGAACAACAACATTAAAAATAGGTTTAGTAAAAGTGAGAATAGAGCTGTGATCCTAAAGAATAAATTAACATTACGATGAAAGGTTTTCATACATCAAATTAAGGTGATTTTCTTTGTTTGCCCAACTTTCACGATCCAGTTTGCACTCAGTAGAAAAACTTCATTTTTGATTAACAGTCTCCTGTTGGGTTTGTAGAAACAAAATCAGCGCAGGCCTCTAGGAAAACGGAAAGTGCATGGATTTTAGGCAAAACTAGATTAAAAGAGGAGGAGAAGTGGCTTCTGTCTAACCCAGAGTCATTAATAATATTGAGATATAAATCAAAGTTTCAGGAAGAACAAAAAGTAGCCTACCAAATAAACAAGGGGACATACAGGGAATTGTAGGGAAGCAGGACAAAACTCTTGAAAGAAACAAAGGAGATGGCACTGCCAATAAAGTTGGGTTGATTTATGAATGAGTTTACTTCTGAGAGTCACAGAAGTGACACGGTTCACACATGATGTCTCAATGGGTATCTTATGTTACACGTGATTTTACTAGTAATCAGGGTTTTTTTTGTGCACTACAATGCTACCATGCCATCTCTCCTTTATGGAATAATATAAAAATAAACAGCTAATAACATTCATTATTTATAAAGCACATGCATTTTTAACAGAACTTTGGTTCTTCATATGAGTTTTTGAATCACAATTTGTGGTTTATTCAATAAAACATGAATTGTGTTGAATTGGCAAGTGATTTGCCCATTTTAGGCTAAAATAATAAATACCAAAAAAAA